GTTTCAACATTTGTAAAGTGGGTGGATAGGTGACACAGTGGATAGAGCGCCAGGCCTGGAGTCAGGAAGACCTGAATTTAAATCCAGCCTCAGACACTGGCAAATCACTTAACCTTGTTTGCCTCAGTTTTCTCACCTGTAAAATAAGCTGGAGAAAGAAATGGCAAACCATTCCAGTGTCTTTGCCAAGAAAGCCCCAAATGGGGTCACAAAGAATCAGACACAACTGAAAAATGACTGAACAACAAAGTGGAGATAATAATTACTTGTCTAGTCTACATACCTGGTATACAGTAGTATGTCAGCATCTCTATTCTTGCGAGATTCAAATGGGTAATTAATTTAAGGCACTGCGTAAAAGAGAAGCTGTATGGTATAGTGGACAGAGAGCCAGCCTCAGAGTCAAAAAGGCCTGGGTTCTAATCCCACCTCTGATACACATTGGCTATGTGACCCTGGGCCAGTCACTAAACTTCTCAATGGCCTAGGTAACTGTATCTGTAAGTTTCAGAGCAGGTGATTGACTGACTACCTCTCTTCATTAATGCATTTTCCTAATCAGACGGTTCCCTAACCCAGTGAAAATCTAGTCTAGTACCCCTCCCAATGATCTCTGGTAGCACGCTGCCTTGACTAAGCATGATGTCTATGCAGGACAGCAAGAGATTGGCCTGAGCAATGTTCAGAGTTTAAGTATATGTAGGAGATAAGGTTGGCTAGATATAATGTTATTGTTGTTCAGTCATTTCAGTTGCATCTGACTCTTTGAGACCCCATTTGGGGTTTTCTTGGCAAAGACACTGGAGTGGTTTGCCATTTCCTTCTCCAGCTCATTTTACAGACAAGGCAACTGAGGCAAACAGGGTGAAGTGATTTACCCAGGGTCACACATAGCTAGTAAGTGTCTGAGGCCAGATTTGAACTGAAGTCTTCCTGACTCCAGGCCTAGTGCTCTATCCACTGCATCACCTAGCTGCCTGTAGACAGAATGGGATAATGAAGAGCCTAGTTTGCCACTGTCCAAACAAAACCCATCTAGTTCACAGCCCCCAAGCATTTGCCCAAATTCCCCCTTGTATTATCTGAGCAAGTTTTCTCCTTGGCAATACATGTGGCCCTACCAATACGCACAAGAGCTTTTACCACCTTTTCTACCTTAGATTCAATTCAAAGTAAGTATTTATTAAAGGCATGTATTGATTCTGAAAACTCCCAATAAAACAACAATAGCCACAGAGATGAAGTCTCCAGAAACAATCAACAATAGGAAGCAGCATGATATAGCGGTGGACCGTAAGGGTCACAACCGTAAGGGTCAAAATGTTTGTCCGACTCCTAATTCCACTGCTTATTAGCTGTGTGACCCTGGGCATGGAACAACCTCTCTGAGGCCCTAGTTTGCTTCACCTGAAAAGTGTGATTGACCATCATGTAAACATACTTGGCGAATTATGAAATGGTAAAAAAAAATAATAATAAAAAATAAAAATAATAGCTAGTTTATAAAGCACTTCATGGTTTGCAAAAAAAAAATAAATAAATAAACCTTTACAAATATTATCACATTGTATCCTCACAACAACCCTAGGAGGTTATCATCGTTATCATTGTGCAGATGAGGAAACTGAGACAAACAGGGTTAAAGTGATATGCCCAGGGTCATGCATTTCACTCATGCTGAATTTGAACTCAGGTTCTCCTGACTCCAAGCTTGGTACTCTTAGCCTCTGTGCCACTTAGCTGCCACTACATAAGTGCAATATTAAAAATACTTTTTGAGTATGTGACTACTACGTGTGAAATCTATTAACCCTAACTTGTGTTGGCCAAGTCAGAGGATAACAGCCCCAGAGCTAGAATAGACGTTAGAGACCATCTAATCTAACCTCCTCATTTTACAGATGAGGAAACTGAAGCCTAGCAGAGGTTAAGCCCCTTATCAAGTCATGCAGTTTTCCTAAATCTCAGTTTCTAATCTACAAAATAGGAATAATATTTGCATAAACCACCTTAAGAACCAACGTGGTACACAGTGAAGAGAATATTGGCTCTGGAACCGGAGGACCTGGATTCAAATGTTACCTCTGATGCTACCTGGATGGCCATGGGTAATCGTTTTAACTTCTCTGGGCCCCAGTTTCCTCATCTGTAACATGAGGAGATTTGACTGGACCCTGAGGTGCCAATTCTTTATTCCTATGACCTCTTTCTTCTAGTTGTATGGAACTTATTTGTTTTGTAAAATCTGAAACTATGTAAGTGGGATCCATTATAATTATTTTCCCCAAAACAAAGGAGTTAAAAAAGATGACAGATATCTAAGGTTTCTGAGTTCCACGTCCTGTGATACTAACTAAAACAACTTACTCAGCCCAAACATGGGACCCAAACATGTCATCAGCTAGAGACAATACTGTACCTCTTTCAGCACCTACCAGAAACCATTGTCCAGCCTTGGTAGCCCAGCACTCCTTTCTGTTATATCACCAGAGATCTCAAAATCCACACCCTTTGAGACTGACCAATTTTCAAATTCAGGAGCTTTGGATCGATGGTCAGAATGGCAAGGAATCATCGGAGAAGCTGCTGTCTCCTGATCCTTGGTTGTCTTCTGAGTGACTTAATTTGCTGAGACTTTGGGCAACACCAGTACCAGGCAGCAAACAGCATGAGACATGGATTTGTTTGCCAATAATGCCCACTATCACCCCATGACCAGTCACAGTCAAGAAGTCAGACTGCTCCTATCTCATAGGGCCATCAAAAGCATTTACTGCTTTGAACTTCATGGAAGAAAGTACTGGGAAGTTAAACATCGGTTCATCACTTCTTCCCTTCACAAGAACCACAGAAGCTCAGATATGAATGGGACTTAGGAGAGTGTTCAGTCCAACAACAAACTGAAATGTGAATTTTTCTCTACAACAGTCTTAACCAGTTTATCTCAGTCTCTGCTTGAATACAGCAATGACAAGAACTCACTGTCTTCTCTGGTGCCTCATTACATTGGGGGATAGCTCTGTTAGATTTTTTTCTTAAACTGACCACACATCTACTTTGCTGTTAATTTGCCCCATTTGCCCTCTGGGACCAAGCAGAATAAATTGTATTGCTGTTATACACGACAATGCTTCAAATACTAAAAGAGAATGATAAATTCTCCCTCCTCTCACTCCAAGTCTTCTTTCCAGGCTACACATCCTTAGTATCTTCAACCCATTTTCAAATGTCATGTTTTTGAGCTCCCTCAGCGTGATAGAGAAGGACATGGCAAACCACTCCAAAACAAACAAACAAACCCATATGGGATCACAACGAGTCAGATACAACTGAAAAGCCTGAACAACACCAACAAAAGCATCATGCTTCGCTATGAGCACATCCGGAATGGAGGAGAGGAAAGAAAAAAACAAAGAAAGTAAGAGAAATAGATGTGGAAATAATGAATAGGAAAAAGAGAGGAAGAGACAGGCCCACCATACCTATCTGAAACAGTTTTTAAATATGAGACTAGAAATGCAATTCTGCTATATCTCTATTAGCATTTTAGTGTAAGCCCAAATAGTCTGTACGCACAAGGTTTAGTTCTGGTAGGTTTCATATATGAGAGACTCCCTTTCTACCAATTTTAAAAATTAACTTTACTAATGCTGCATTTCATAAAATCATAAGTTCTCAGATTTGGATTTCAGAAGACCTCTAGCTCAGTCTCTACCTGGAATGTCCTCTGAAACATTCCCAACGACTGGCTGTCTGGCTTCTTCTCCAAGACCTCCACCTGCGGGGAACTCACTACCTTTCAAGGAATCCCATTTCATTTTTGTATAGCTCTGACTGTTAGGGAGTTTTTCCATATATCAAGTTGAAATCTAGTGAGGGTTACAGTTACAGGTTTTTCCTCATTGTCTAGCCCCTACCACATCTCCCAAAAATGGTTGTTGATTGATATGAATATGATGGCTAGAAATATCAGAGAGCATTAGGATCTCAGAGCTGGAGGACCTTAAAGGCTGTGAAGTTTGGCTTCATAGCTAGAGCACATATTCCTTCTATGATATCTCTGACCAGTGGTCATTAGGCTCCCTACCTAAAGAAAGAAATCATTTCTTTGTTGGACAGTTCTCTGAATTAGGAAGGTCTTCTTTAATCCCTGAATCTGCCTTCCCATAACTTAACTGCATTGGTCTAAGTCCTGTCCTCTCATACCATGTCCTACTCTTCAGCATACAGACCTTAGAGCCAGCTCTGCTCAAAAACTTAAAATGTTAAGATCTTGCTTGGAGCTTTAGGATGTCATTTCTCTTTATCCTTGGTTAATAAGCCACAATTCTATCACCACATGTATGCTGTAAACCTACAGTTTTCAGATTTTCTCCAACTTTGCATGAACATTTTAAAATTTAATAGCGTGTTGAATTTAAGTAAAGGGTCTCCATTCAGATTTCCAAAATGCCATAAAACACTTTTGAAAACCATTTTGCCTAACTCAGTTGGGAAGTCCATAGCTGGGTAAACAAGGCCTACATAACCATTTATTATTATTCTTAAGGTTGGTATAATAAAAGAACGAAGGAGGGTCACACACTGCCAGGCAATAGGCTCCCAACTGCGGCTGTAATTCAAATGAGCCTGTATTTGAGTGCCTGACTATGTACAGGGCTCAGTTGTTAATGAGCCTTTTATACACTTGAAATTTCCTTTCAAGAGAGATCAAAACTGAGGTTTCTTATTGATGTCTCTTGAGTAAATAGTGTGATATGATGGCCAAGAATGCTAATTCTTCTTAGGCTTAATTAAGAGAGGCATCGAGTCTAAGACTAGGTTGGGGAGGGGGGCAGGGAACTGGTGAAACCAAATCTGAAATATTATGTGGAGTTCTAGGCATCTCATCTTAGGAAGGAAATTGATAGGCTTGGAGAACATCCAGACAAAGGCAACCAGGACTTTAAAGAAAGTCAAGTTCATGTCATAATCGATATTCATCTGAAGGACTTGTGGAACTCAGCCTGGAGAGAAGAATACCAAAGAAGGGACGTGACAGCTGTCTTCAAGAATCTGAAGGGCTGTCGTGGATTTGGCCCATGAGGACAGATCTAAGAGGTAGGAAGCAAAGCTAGGTTGGAGGCAAAGAAACACTTTATCACAATTTTAGGAAGAGGCAAAGGGGAGATTTAAACCTTCGGCCTCTGACCCCCAATTCAGTGCTCTTTCCATTATATCTTCCTATACTTCTAAATGCGGAAAGTGGGAAGGAAAGAGAACAAACTTTTTTTTTAATTAAGCATCTAAATACCTGCTATGTGCCAGGCACTGTGCTCATTTTTTTTCCCACACATGTTATCTCATTTGATCCTTACAATAACCCTGGGAGGGAGATACTATTATCCCTATTTTATGGATAGGAAAGTGGAAGCTTTCTCAAGAAGTGACTTGCTCAGGGCCACACTGCTAGTAAGTGTCTAAGGCTGGATTTGAACTCAGGTTTCCTGACTCCAAGCCCAGTGCTGTCCCCACTGTGCCACCCAGCTGTCCCTAAGCATTCACATATCTTTGTACTTATGGATTCATACTTGCAGATATGACCAGCCACGTAGACCACTGTTCCTCTAAGTTAAGAGCAGGGAAGCTCACAGGCTGCATGCGCCTCCAAATGAGATTTCATGCTTCTGAGTAATATGAATGGATTAATTTAGTCTTTCAAAATACATTTTCTTAGTTTAGAATCTAGCAGAAAAGATAAGATATGGGCACAAACAATTAAAATATGGTTTGATTCAATAGAAGAATGGTCAGAACATGGCTTTGCTCACTGCCCCATTAGTCCAGAGCGGAGTGGCCACCTTCACGTCAGCTGCTACAGCTGCCCCGCCACAAAAGACAGCCATGGATGTTTCCAGAAAAGAAAAATGATCAAAGAGCGGTAGTAACCAGTTGTTAATGAGACAACTGCCATTTCAAAAGGCACTAATATTAAACTGAAGGCCACGGACCCAAGGAAGACCAAGTAATGTATCTGATTAACATTCCTCAAAGAATGTACTAGACTGACTTACACGTCCCTAGTTCTCACTTTGTCTTCCTGCCTCTCCTTCTTCTTCCTCCTCCTCAACCAGTTGCTTTCATTCCCCTTTTTCCAAGCAAACAAATCCATTCAATTGGGCAGTGACTAACAAACAGGATTAGAGGAAGAATGGTACTAATAGGGAGAAATTCTCTATAGAGAATAGAGGTGAAAGAGGGCATGACAGGTACCTTGAACACTTCTTAAGAGAGTTCTTGGAGAGGAAGAGAATAAGTATTTATAAAATGCCTACTATGCGCCAGGCACTGGGTTAAGTTACTTTACAAATATGATCTCATTTGATCCTCACAATAACCCTGAGATGCAGGTACTATTATGATTTCTATACAGTTTTACAGTTGAGGAAACTGAGGCTGACCCAGGTTAAGTGACTTGATCAGGGTCACATAGCTAATACATGTCTGAGGCAGGATTTGAACTCGAGTCTTCCTGACTCCAAGTCCTGAGCTCTTAACTTGTGTCTGCCTCAGTTTCCTCCACTGTAAAATAGAGATAATAACAGTACCTCCCTCTCAGCATTGTTGTGAGGATCAAATGAGATAATATTCATAAAGTGCTTAGCATAGCGTCTGGTACATAGTAGGTGCTTAATAAATAGTTGTTCTCCCTTCTCTGAGAGCCCATCCTGTGCCTATAACCTAGCAGGTTTTTAATAAATTCCTGTTGAACTTAATTAGTGCCTCTGATCTTGACTTCACTATTTTCTTGGCTACTTTCTTTAGCTTTTCCAATCAGAACTATATACCTCAATGATTTAAATCAGCAAAAACTTAACTGAATCAAAAGATATGATTTACTCCCAAAGCTTCAGATTACTCTTCCTAAGTCTTCACAGATAAAGAGTATGAGCACTTCTACGCATTCACCTTTTTTTAGTTGGCTCCTTGTATTGAACTGTTACTTGTTACTGTTCACTACCCCGCAGGGACACAGCCAACTACTTTACAACCAGGCGTAAAACCAATATTTCTCTCCATTAAGGGTGGAGAAAACGTCGACCTCAGCCAGGAAGTCCATGACTGGATAAACAAGGCAAACACAACCTTTCATTATTCAAATAATCATAGGATTTAGAGCTAGAAGGGAGCTACCATCTATCTAGTCCAAACCCTCTCATTTGTGGCCAAGGTCACAGACAGTAAGGGACAAGCCCAAGATGTAAAGTCAGGTCCTCTGCTTCCAAACCAAGTGCTCCTTCCTGTACAACATGAGGCTCACAGCTGCTGTCACTCCCTTACTTTTACGCCACTTCTTGCTTGTGAGGGCTCTTGGGAGAGCCAGATGGTGGGAAGATCTCCAGAGACTGGGGAACTCACTCTCTCCCCAAAGAGCATGTTTAACTGGTTGGTGACTCTTAAACCACCAGACAAACTCTTCCTGATAGAGTCTAAGCCCCAATCTACCTCCCAGTTAACTCCCATCTGACCTGTCTTAAAACCCAGATCATTTCAATTTTTTCCCAGTCTGCCCTCCCCTAGTTATATTTAGTCCGAGCTTGAATTTACCAGCTTTAGGACATGTTTGTCCAAACAGCTAGCCTCTTGTCTGAATCTATTCATTTATCTCATCTGCCTCATTGAAGTAGCCCATGACCCAGAGGCTGCAGGGAGATTCCTGGCCCTTTCCGAGGATATGACTCCGGGTTAATGCTTGGCCCATAGGGTTACGCACTCATTATCCCCTTAATTAACTGTAGTTATAGGATTTGTTTATCTTCTTAAATACAGGGTGTCCCAAAGTCTTAGGGCAGTTTTCAGCTTAAATAGCTATATTTTAAAAAAAACTAATGTAAGACTTTTGGGGTAGCCTGTAGTGTTTCTTTTTATTAAGTAGGTTTTAAAGTTTCTGCTTCTTAATTTCAAACCAAGGGGAGTTAGATAATTGATGTCTCACCCCTGCCCCCACCCCCAACTCCTCCACCTCAGGAAAAAAAATTATCTCTGCTCCACACATTGTTACAGACAACCCTGGATGAGGGGACTTCTTCTACCAAAGCAGATTTGCAACTATCCTGCAATTTATAGTGTCAATTGCTTGGTTCAGTGAAAGGATAGGTGACCTGCCCAAGACCACACAGCCAGTACATGATCAGAGGCAAAACGTGAATCCAGATCTTCTGCTTCTGAGACTGGTTCATCATCTACTATCTAAACCTCAGCAAAATTAATTCTATAACCCCATGAAACTAAAAGAACATCTCTCTATTTTCATATATTGTCCTCAAAGAATTTTATCACAGTCAATCAATGAATGAATCAATCAGTAAACATTTATTAAGCACCTCCTATATGCAGGCATTGGAAAGCACTGTGCATACCAAAAAAAAAAAAGTCAAAAGACAGTGCCTGCCCTCAAGGAGCTTACACTCTAATGAGGGAGACAACATGCAAATAAATATGTACAAACACATTTATACAGGCTAAGGACGAAATAATTACCAGAAGGATGGTATTTAGGATTTTTGGGGAAAAAAACCTTAGAAAGCCAGCTTAGTCCCTCATTTTACCTATTGAGAAATTGAGGCCTCGAAAAGTCAAGTGACTTGGCCCAAAACTAAATAGCTGTTAAAAGGCAGAGCTGGAACTTCAACCTAGATCCTCTGATGCCCAACTCAATAATCTATTTGAAGCATTATGCAATTTCTTACAAGTAATGACAACTTAGGGACAGCTGGGTGGCCAAATGGTTAGAGCACTAAGACTGGAATCAAGAAGACCTGAATTCAAATCCATCTTCAGACACTCACTAGCTTCTGACCCTGGGCAAGTCACTTAACCCTGTTTGCCTCAATTTCCTTATTTGCAAAATGAGCTGGAGAAGGAAATAGCAAACCAGTCCAGTATCTTTGCCAAGAAGACCCCAAATGGGGTCACAAAGAGTCAGACACAACTGAAAACAACTGAACAACAACAACAAATGATAACCTACATTTATAAAGCACTATACGATTAAAAAGTCCCTTGCAAACATTATATTAGTAAATCCTCAGGCCTGTGATGGAGGCCGGGCAGGTATTATCTCCTATTTTACAGACGAGGAAAGTGAGGCTCAGAGACAGTTGGGCTATATGATCTCTAAGGTCACTTCTAATTTTATATCCCATGATCCAGGGTCACACAGTTGAACCAGGATTTGAACCTAAGCCTTCTGAGTCCTAATGGTACAAATCACAAGGCTTTGAAACCCTGAAGAGAGATCACAGAACCCAGCTTTTCCATGACTGGTGCTATTTACACTACTCCGCCAGACTGCCTCCTGAAAAAAATAAAACATGGAAAAAAAAAAAAACCAAAGCTGCCCTAGTCTGGCCTAAGCCCACTGAGCAGATGTCAACAGTACCTGTTTCCTCTGGCATTACAGTATGAGCTGTGGCCTAAGTCAGAGAGAGCCTCTGCAAGCCCTGCTCCTATTCACTCTCTTCAGAACAGACCACGGAGCTTGTAAGAGGAAGCTAGTTGAAAGACAGGCAGTGATGAGCCAACAGCCAGGTTCTGCCTGTCACTGGAGCTCGCTGGGACTGAAATGCAGGAAGGGTCATATGATGCTGGTGTCTCTCATGGACAAACAGGGCGATAGCCAGGTTCTTCCTGACTCACCAAAATAGAACTCCCCATTAAGCTCCAAAAATATATACATCCTTCCGGGGAGGGGGCAAGGCACTTTGAACTGACAGCTAAATTTAAGTGACTTCTATGAGACATGATCAGATTGATAGATCATCCTCAAAGGGTTTTTGAGAAGTGAAACAACCAGAAATGATCGAGCAATGGGTCTACAGTGTTTCATTTTAACTCACAGTGACAGCATTGAGGTCTAGAGGAAAGAGCCCTTTCTTGACTAGCTGGGGATACTTCAGGTCTAGCTCTGGATCTGCTTCTAACCAGCTTTGTGAACCTCATTTTCCTTTGTCTATTAAATGAGAAAAGTGGACTAGCTGCTTTCTAAATTCTCTTCTGGTTCTAAGCATCTCTGTTCAAAGTCTTGTATTCCAGAATTATGTTCTAGGTCAGTGGTGTCAGACAAATAGAAACGGGTCACAAGGGGTACATAATGATTCCTGTTCACTGCATATTGACTTAGAAAACCACAGATTGCTATATTATCTATGTTGTTGTTAAGTCACTTTCATCCGTGCCTGACTCTTTGTGACCCCATTTGGGGCTTTCTTCGCAGAGATACTGGAGTAGTTTGCCATTTCCTTCTCCAGCTCATTTTACAGATTAGGAAACTGAGGCCAACGGGGTTAAGTGACTTGCCCAGTGTCACCCAGCTAGTAAGTGTCTGAGGCCACATTTGAACTCAGGGAGATGAATCTTCTGACTCCAGGCTTAGCACTCTATCCATAGCGCCACCTAGCTGCCCCAATACTATGTTTTATTGTATTTTTATTTATTTTTTAACTATTTCCCAATTACATTTTAATCTGGTTCATGTTGCACCCAGAAGTGTTCCAGACTGTGTTTGGCACCTCTGTTCTAGGTGTCCTTCCAGTTCTAACATTGGTTCTATGATTCTATGACTTATTTCCCCCTATTTCTGCAAATGGCACCACCATCATCCCAGTATCTCAGGATCAAATCTTGGAGTCATCTTTAAATTCCTTCCTCTCCCTTACCCCTATGCATCCGAACAGCTGTCAAATCTCGTTACTTCTCCTTTGAAAATATCTCTTGTAAACATCAATCAATAAGTATTTATTAAGGGCTTCCTATTTAATTAAGCACCGTGCTAGGTACCTTGTCTTATTACATTTCCCTTTATTGGGGTTTTTGTTGTTGTTGCTGATTTTTGTTGCTGTTTACAGATTAAAGGTTTGTGGCAACCCTGCATTGACCAAGTCTAACGGCGCCATTTTTCCAACAACATGTGCTCACATCTCTCTGTCACATTTTGGTAATGCTTGCAATATTTCAGACTTTTTCACTATTATTAGATCTGTGCTCCGGGATCTTTAATGTCACTATTGTAATTGTTTTGGGGTGCCATGAATCTGCCCATATAAGATGGTGAACTTAATCAATAAATATTGTGTGTGTTCTGACTGCTCCACTGATCTTCCATTGCCCATGTTTCTACCTCTCCTTGGGCCTCCCTATTCCCTGAAACACAACAACACTGGAATTAGGCCAATAACCCTACAGTGGTCTCTAACTGTTCAAATAAAAGGAAGAGCCAATCAATGTGGCAAAGCATTGTTTCATTATTTTAAGAAATTGCCACAGCCACCCCAGCCTTCAGCAACCACCGCACTGATCAGTCAGCAGCCATCAACATCAAGGCAAGACCCTCCACCAGCAAAAAGATTGCAACTCACTGAAGGCTCAGGTGATAGTTAGCATTTTTAACAATAAAGTATTTTTAATTAAGATCATGTACGTTGTTTTTTAGACATAGTACTATTGCACACTTAATAGACTACAGAATAGTGTAAACATAACGTTGAACGGAAACCAAAAAATTCATGCAACTCACTTTATATTGTGATATTTGCTTTATTGCAGTGGTCTGGAACCAAACCCACAATATTCCTGAGACATGCCTCTTTTGAACATATGAAGACAAAATATAATAACAGCTCTGCCCACAAGGAGTTTACTTCATACCCACTGCAATCAGCCTTGTTCAAGCTCTTATCTGTTCTTGTGTAGGCTACTGTGATGCCTCCTAATTCATTTTTCCAAGTCTATTCTTTCCTTATTCCATCCTCCACATCATTGTTCAGGTAATATTCCTAACATAGTGAGATCATGTCAATATCACTCCCGTACTCATAACTATTTGGTGGCCCTTCATTGCCTGCCAGATAAAACATAAGCTGATTCTAGCTTTCAAAGCCCTGCACGTGCTGCTCTGAATATACCTCCTTTCCTACTATATCCTTCCATGTACTCTACATTCTAGCCAGGCAGGATGACATCAGACCCTTTCTAGGCATAGCTCATGCCATTCCTCCATGCTTGGAATGGAAGGCCCCTCTGCCTCTCCTATCTGTTGAAGTACCTCTCCTCCTGTATGACCAAGCTCCATTGCCCTCCTTTTCCATAAAGCCTTTCCTCAAATCTTTGCCTGCCCTCCATCCTAAGGCAGCTTGGGGAAAGCATCCTCTCCTCAAATTTCTCATAGCACTTTGTCTCACTCTCTTTCTCATGTGCTTAATTTGCTCTTCTTTGTATTGTATGATAGCTATTTATGGGCACATCTCTTGCTATTAGATTATATATTCCTTAAGAATAAGGTCTATATTGTGTCTGCTTACTGCATTCTCCTTACCAAGCGTAGGGCCATGGACAGAGCAACAGCTTAACAATTATTTTCTAATTGAATTAAACTGAATTCTTCTATGATGGGAAAATAACATATTTACAATAATAATCACAGCAGTATACACAGCAGACCCGACCCAACCGACAGAGTCAGCGTGAATGCATCTTAATTCATAGAATGCAAAAGCTAGACAGGACTTTTGAACAGAGTTCTAGAGCTAGATAGGGACCTTTGAACACAGGCTATTAGAGCTAGAAGTGTCTGTAAAACAAAGAACACAGTTTCAGAGCTAGAATTCCCTTCATTATCAGAGGCAGCCAGGTGGCACAAAAGATAAAGTGAGAGACTTGAATTCAAATTCTGTCTCAGATACTTAGTAGTTGTGTAACTGAATAACTTACTTTTACTGTTCTCTGCCTCAGTTTCTTCATCTGTAAAATAATGGGGTTGGATTTGATAGCCTTTAAGTTAAATTCCTTTCTGGCTCAAAAGTTATGATCCTATACTGCAAAAAATAACTTACTGAGTGGGGCAGCTAGGTGGCGCAGTGGACAGGGTACTGACTCTGAAGTCAGGGGGACCTGAGTTCAAATCCGACCTCAGACCAAACACTTGACACTTACTAGCTGTGTGACCCTGGGCAAGTCACTTAACCCCAACTGCCTAAGCAAAAAAACCAAAAAACCAAAAAGTTACTGAGCCTTGTAGAGGTGAGGGGACCTGTTCAAGAACCCTAATTCTTGAGCCAGAGCCCAGGACTAGGAAGAACTCAGGCTCTTTATACCTAGTCTCATGCTGCCTTCTTTTACTTAAAAAAAAAAGTTTCCTGACTAGTACAGACAGCTCATACTAACTATGCAGAACAGCTTCTAAGGAGCTTAATTCAGCACTTTTCCATAGAGGTGATAATTTAGATTCACTCTGACTGTCTGCACTGTAAACTAATGTTGTCAAAGCTATGGAAATTGCAAAAATGTTCCACAATCTGCCTCCAAACTAATTTTCAAGGCTTTTTAAAAATTGTCTACCCTTTTCTCACATTATTCCCTCTCAAGCTCTATACATCTCAATTAAACCAGACTATTCATTATTTCTTAGGCTCATTCCACTCTTTCCTCCCACCACACCTTTACTCAAGCCATACCATGCACCTGAAATGAACTACCTTACCACTGCCCTTTCTCTGCCCCACTATTTTTATGTTGTTACTGGACTTTAAGGGCCAGCTCAGGTGCCTTCTTATCTTTTCCTAGCTCACTACACTCAAAATGCAAGATGAACACAAGAATTAGAGGCAGAAGATGAATTTCCCCATCCGTAAAATGGAGATAATAATATGTATACTACCTACCTCATACTAAAGAAAGCACTTTGTAAATTACCGAGCAATCTACAAGGCCATCTTTACCAATTGTATTTTTAGAATTGTAACTCACATTTACTAAATCCTCTAAGGTTTACCCAGCTCTTTCTGCACAATAACCTTGTGAGGTAGGTAGGTAGGTAGGTAGGTAGGTAGTGAGAGTATGATTGTTCCCATATGACAGATGAGGAAAGTACAGGTCAGAGAAGAGAAATGACTTGCCCAATGTCATGCCAAATAAGGATCAGGGGTGGCATTCAAATCAAGGTCTTCTGATTGAAATCGTCCACTCCTTCCACTTATGCTATATACTGCCCTTTGGACTGCCAGGCATATTTTGAGCTCCATGAAGAAAGCATTGTCCTAAGGAGCAAGGTTATCATTTTTTTTTCTGCCCACCTCTCTTTCCCCCAGCTGCGTTCCTGGATCCCGAGACCTTCAGGAGTTGGGCATGATTGAAAATGTTATTCAGACCCTTCAGGCATGTAAGTGTTGACTACAGATACAGCAAGGGACTATAGGTGAATCTGTGGGAATGATTCCATTTAATGGTGCGTGTAATCTGTGCTGATCTGGCCACCAGATAATTGGCAATATGGATCTTACAGGGATGGAGAGTCTTTCATTCAGCAGGGTGCCAATGTACTGGAAAGTGCTTGTCATATTTCACACAGCACTGGCTTAAATGTCAGGTTGACTGTGCCCAGCAAGAAGTGCCTTATACCATCAGATCAGCAGAAGGAATGGGGGGGGGGGCAGGTGCTATGGGACAAATGGAACATTCTTCTATTCTCTCCACCACACACACATGGACTTTTTATTATGCATGTTAGTATGAAACCATGACCTCATTTTGCTATGAAATATGATAAACAATAATTGGCCAGATTCTCATATGAAACTCAGAGGAATTTGCTTTCTATTACTGGCTTATGAGATACCCAAATGGCTACAGTGATATATTCAGGAAATATGATCATATCCCTTTGCTGTCCATAAATGAGGATGAATTCATCTATGAGGGGCCTGTCTTACTGACTTTATAACATTAAATAATTTTCTGGCAACATTTAAAGAGTATCATACTTGATAATCTGACTTACTTGCCTCCTGGACACATCAATAATAACAAATAAGCTATCATTTCCCTGACAAAGACTGTTCAGCATAAATAGACATCAATAGGGTTAGAACTAGAGGCTTTACTGAAACCAGAAGAACTGGACATGAGTCCCAGCTCTACCATGCTGGGCATCAATTCAATTAAATAAACATTTATGAATAGCCTACTAAAGTTCAAGGCATTGAGGATACAAAGACTGCCTGCCCCCAAAGAGCTTTCATTCTAATGGAGGAATACAACATGTACAGAAAGAAGTAAGTTAAATGATACTATAACAACAAAGGCCTTTGGTTTTATCAGTGTACATTTCATTCATCAATGCCAACCGAAAATTTTTTTTAGGCCTAGGCAGGTGGGGGACTACTTCATGAGGTTCCTGTCACTTAAGAAACTCATCTCCTGATGGCTAATCTTTTCGGGATGAAATTTCTTACTCTTAACTAGGCTGGTTCTCAGGTGACCAGCACATTCCACTGGTATTCAGAAGCTGTGCAGCTTAGTATAGGATCTGCTGGACTTGTGCTCTGCTGGCAGAGTCTTCTACACCCTGGGAATCAACTCTATGCCGAGATGTGTCAACCAAGAGTTCCTTAGTAGAGGGACAATAGAAATATCTCCCATTTACATAATGCTTTACAGTTTGCAAGCCACTTCTCTGGCAAACCTGAGAAATAGCTAATACAATTAATTTCCCCATTTTACAGATTGAGAAAAACTGAGGCCCAGAGAGATACAATGACTTGCCCAAGGTCTCTCTCTCTCTCTCTGTATGTATGTATGTATATATATATATACATACACTACATATACAATATATGTATGTATACATGTACATAAATATACATATATAATATATGTATGAGTACATATGTGTATATATATGTATGTGTATATATACTGTACATATATATAATACAAAGATACATACATATATCTCAAAGCCAGACTTTGATCCAAAGTCTCACAATGCTTGCCACTCTCGCATCCTCCTTTTTCCCATTTTCACATGAGGAAATAGGCACAAAATACATTATTTGGCATTAAAGCTTAGCTCCAAGGTTTTCCTTACCCATCCTCCCCCCATTTGTTGGCATTAGAATGACATAGGGTAAAGTATTTTGAAACCTTTAAAGCTTTATATAAATGTGAATTATTTTCATTAATGCATAACAATACTAATCATCATAATTCTAGGCTTCAATTTATTTCTCCTTAAAATGACTAAAGAGACAAAAGCACAGTATATCAGGGCTAGAAAGAACCCCAGAGAGTATCTGGTAAAACACTGCACAACCTACCTATCTCACAGGAGTTTCATATGGAAAGTGTCCTGTAAACCATAAAGCATTTTATAATTGTGAGTTACCATTCTATCAATAAGAGGAATGCCCTCTACGCACTCTCCCAAAGCACTCAGCTTTCACTTGAATGCTTGCAGTAATGAGCAACTCACTACTTTATATGGAAGTTCATTCTACTTCTGGACAGCTCTTTTATAAAATGGTCAACTTGGAGATGGAAGGGACCTCAAAGAGAATCTAGTCAAGCCAGTAGGAGAACAAACATATTTGCTATGATGTCCTCAACATTTAACCATCCAGCCTTTGCTAAAAGATCTCCAGTACAGGGTAACTGATGAAATCCCAAGTAGTCAATTACATGTAGGGGTAGCTCCAATGGTTAGAATGGCTTTTTTACAGAAACCAAAATATTCCTTCCTGAAACTTCCACTCTTGGCTCCACCTTCTGGGAACAAGCAGAACTTGCCTAACTTTTCTTCCACAGGACAGTTCTTAACTACTTTAAGGTAGTTATCAAGTCCTTTACAAGTTTTGTATTTCCTGAGCTAAATATTCAAAAGACTCAGATGGTATGACTTCCTTACCGCCTTGTTTGTCCTCCTCGAGACATCCCCAGATTGTCGAAATTCATAAAATGTGCTGCCCTGAATGGAGCTGAACACATTGTGACATCCAATCAGGGCAGAATGTTCACCTCCATCATTCTGTCTGGACACTATAACTTAATTAATTCAGCCTAAGGTCCAGTTAGCTTTTTCTTGGCTTCCATGATTGTCTCATAATGAGCTTATAAATTCATTAAAATGCCCAGAACTTTTTCATATGAACTGTTGCCCAGTCACACCTTCAATATCATTTTCATGTGGACCTAAATGTAGCACTTGACTTGACTCCTATACTTTTCTTGTCTATATTACTCATTTGGCACCTAATCATATGAACCTTTATTTTTTTTTTGGTGAGGCAATTGGTGTTAAGTGACTTGCCCAGAGTCACACAGCTAGTGTTAGGTGTCTGAGGCCAGATTTGAACTCAGATCCTCCTGAATCCAGGGCCTGTGCTCTATCCACTGCACCACCTAGCTGCCCCTTGAAACTTTAGTTTGATAACTGCTTTTTTTTACTATCTAAAATAAAATTTAAAATCATTGAAAGCAGGGATCACATCACTTGTTTCTTTCTCCCATAGCTCCAAATGTTGTACCTTATACATAGTACATACTCATTATATTTTTTTAATTAATCAGTTGAATTGATACATTAAGGAACAATTAAAAATACTGAACTTATTCATGATTACTGAAAAATTTTGTCCACAGGGAGAATTTTCAAACATTTCTAACTTCTAAAAATCATGAGTTGATCAGTCATTTGAATTCTTCCTCCTTCTCTATCCACATATAATCAGTTGCCAAGCCTTGTAGATTCCACCTCCACTGTCTCTCTCCAATCTGTCTTCTTTCTATTCAGACAATCACCACTATAGTTCAGTCCTTCATTATATCTCACCCTGACATAGGAATCATATCCTGATTAGATTCCCAAGTTCTACTTTCTACCCTCTCCTTTCTTCCACGGAGCTACCAGAAATCACTTTTTCTAAAGTACAATCTAGAATCATGCTATTTTTCACTTTCTTTCATTCTTTTTCATTTATTTGGGTCTTCTTGTACAAAATGACCAATATGAAAATGTTTTACATGATTGCACATGTATAACCTATATCTGATAACTTATCATCTCAGGGAGAGGGGAGGGAAAGGAGAGACAGAGGGAGGGATAGAATTTGGAACTCAAAACTTTAAAAAAAAATTAAATGTTTAAAAATGGTTTTAATGTGTAATTGTGGGGAAATTGTGTGTGTGTGTGTGTGTGTATCACAATTAGTATATACAGTGTGTATTTACTCATGTTATTCCCTGTCTCAATAATCTCCAGTGGCTCCCTTTTGCTTCTATGATAAAGTACAGCTTCCTTAGCCTGGCATTTAACATCTCTCATATTGGCTTCAGTTATCTTTCTGATTTATTTTACTCCCCCTTCATGCACGCCCACTCCAGTTAAGTTGGCCTCCCTTCTCTTCGCCTAATTTGGTATTCCATCTCCTGCTGTTCCGTATGCCTGGAGTATCCTCCTTCCTCGCCTCTTAGAATTCAGAGCTTCCTTCAAGGCTATGTTCATTAATCACCTCCTCTGGGAAGCCTGATCCCTCGAAGTGCTCTCAGCCTCAAGCTATCATACATAGACTTGTTCCACGTCTGTGTTCTACCTCACAAAACAATGTCAGGTCCTCTGGGGCAGGGATTATTTTTTTGTTGAGTCTTTGTATTTCCGGCTCTTAACACAGTGCTTGACACATAGTAAGCACTTAATAAATACTTGCTTGGATCTTGTTGGTATTCCCCTGCTTAGTCATATCTGACTCTTTGCGACCCCATTTGGGGTTTTCTTGACAAAGATTCTGGAGTGGTTTGCCATTTCATTCTCCAGCTCGTTTCACAGATGAAGAACTAAGGCAAACACAATGAAGTGATTTGCCCGGGGTCACACAGCTAGTAAGTCTCTGAAGCCAGATTTGAACTCAGGTCCTCCTGACTCCAGGGCCAGAGCTCTACCCACTGCATCACTTAGCTCCCCACTTAGCTTTCCCTTAACATACTTATTTCTGCTTCCATGCATTTGGTCATGATATTATTCCAGCCAATAATGCCCTAATCACCTCTTTATTGGCTACTTAAACTCTACCCATCATGAGGCCTTCTTTCTGCATAAGTCCAATGCGAATTGGCACTTTCCCTGCAATTCATAAAGAATTTTCTAGAGCATTGAGTGACTTGCCCAGAGTCACAAAGGTAGAATGTGCCAGAGGCAAGACTTGGGATCAGTTCTACATCCACTAGACTATGTTTTCATTTACCAAAGTGCAAGGAGATCACCTATTTCTTGTGTCTCTGAAGATGCCAGTGGCAGTGGGTGTATTGCTACATTTCAGTTCAGGTTCAGCAAAAGCCTGATTCTGGAATATGCCATGTGGGACTTGTGACCACATGTGCCTTTTCACATGGCCACAAGAGCCCTGAGCCTACCCCCTGAACGGAAAGACTGAACAACAACAAAAAAAAAACAGGGGAGGGGGAACAGGGTGGGGTGAGTCCTATTATGACAATCTATAGTCTCTGACAGAGGCTTTTATGGCCATATGATATTTCCCCCAAGCAAAAGTACTCATTCTATAAGCAAACAGCTTTGGTCAATGCTTTCATTTAAAAAAAGAAAACTTGTTCTTATGAACCTGCCTGAAAAAGAAAGAATATCTATTACCTAGGTTCGATTTTTGTAGCACTTAGCACATTGCTATGAACATACTAGATACCCAATAACAAACATATGAGAAATTAATTTCTTGGACTTGACCCCAGTTAAGGATCTCCACTACTGCTCCTCCAATATTGCCAAACCTATGACTTTAAGTGTGACTTCTGTATTGCCACATTTCTTTCTCTGCCTTTCTATACTCCATTCTCCTGTTTTTTGGGTTCCACCTAGTGATACTATAGGAGATAAAGTATGGAGTCAAACACTTGGAAATGTCTTGAAATTTAGAAAAGTATATGGAATTTCTCTGGTTAAAGGCAGTATGACTGTTGATTCTGAGCCTAGATAAATTTCCCTGACACCTCAAGATGAGTATACCAATCCTCTTTACTTCCTCTCTTAAACTTCAGCACAGGGAGATACAAATATACATAGAAGGGACTTTAAAAGCCATTTTGTACAACCACTTCATTTTACGGATGAGGAAACTGAAATCCAACGAGGTTAAATGACTTCCCCAAGGTCACACAGCTAGTGAATGTCAGAGCCAGGAACTGAAATTAGGTCCTCTTATTACAAAAACCAATTCTCTTCCATAATACCACTCAACCTCTATTTCTAATAAGAGACTCTATCTATCTCTGCATCCAAATTCCACATACTAGAAAGTGGAAGGTAGAACAGCAGCTCCTGAAAACTATTAGAAAGGTTTCCCAATAGTAAATCATGCCCCATGAGTTTGGGGATAGCCATCAAAACTACCTTGACATAACTTTCATGTAGTGGGAAGAAAAAAAAAGGATTTGGAACCAGGAAACCTGAGTTTACCAACTTCTGTGTTTGCAATTACACAGGGAGTTAATGGCTGACGTATAGCTTCAACCCAAGTCAAAAGACCTGGATTCAGGCTTAGCTCTACCACTACCATTATCAATCAGTCTCATTTCTGAGTCTCATTTTTTTCATCTGTAAAATGAGGAAGCTGACTAGATGATTTCTGAGGTCTCTGCCACTGCTAAATGTATTCTTTTCAATCCTAGAATTCAATGAAGAGCTAATCCAAGAATACAAACCCCCACAATCATCTAAAAGGTGGCCTCAAAGGTTATCGGGTCCAGAGGGGCCAAACGTATCCAGCTTCAGTGAAACCCACAATATTTCCAGGTGCTGCCTGAACCAGATTAAAATGCAGTTCCTATATGATTTTAATGTCTCGATGTATTAATAAAAAGAATTCTATAAACATGTGTAGTTTTCTAAGTCAATTTGGGGCCTGCAGGGATCCTTTGTATGATTTCAGTAGTCTCCATTTCTATCTGATTTTAACACCATTGATCTAATCCAATCAGGACCCAGAGTACAATACGCTTCACAACGTTCCTGGCAAGCAGTCAGACAGCCTCCAAAGACAGGGGAGCTCTTTACCTCCCTACTCTACTCAAATTTAATGAACTTGTAGGAAGATTTTCCTTTTATTAAACCAAAATTCATTTCCTTATGTTATATCATACTTTACTTCCCAAAACCTTGGTAACTCACTCAAAAGACAAACATCCTAGCTATTCTCCACACAATATGTATGAATGCACTGTTAAATTAATTTTGTTGCAGGTGTCTATAAACAGCGTGGGTTATGCCATGAGTGTCAATCATCTCTCTCACTACCACTGGTCATCAACAGACCATCTTAGAGCAAGGAGTTCAAGTAAAAGAAAAGATCTTGCCCTCAAGATACTTACATTGTAATAAATAATTGCTAAGATATAGCTAGCTATTTAGGATTTACATAGCACTGGTTTCAAAGGTGCTTTACAAATATTATCTCATATGATCTTCATAGCAATCCTGGGAGGTAGATGCTATTATTATCTCTGGTTTACAGATGAAGAAATTGAGGGAGACAAAGGTTAAGAGGCTTGCTCAGGGTTACACAGCTAATAAATATCTGAGGTAGGATTTGAATTCAGGTCTCTAATGAGGGAAGATAATGTGCACATAAATAATATATGATACATGTGGAGTAGATAGAATGTTACCTTAGACAGGGAAAGCACTAACAGAGATACAGCCTCATTCACTTACTATTGCTAAAAGAAATTCAAATCAGTTCTTGATCCTTTGGGTGAAACTCTTTCATTTCACAGATGATGGAAGTCACCCTCCCCAGATCAAACAGCTAATCAGAGGAAGAGAAAATGAGAAGATGTAGGTGATACACTTTAACAAATATAAAAGGCTATGCATATACTGAGTAGTCTACCAATGAGATTTGTGGCAACCATCACACCCAGCCTGCAATTATTCTGACTAAATATCATGGCATGGTAGATTTAGAAGAGGGCATTTTTCCGATCCTCTTAGCTTACACATAAGGAAACTGAGATCTGGAGGGAGGAATTGATCTGCCCAAGATCATACATGCATAGTAGGTAAAGAATCAGCATTTGAACCCAGGGCTTCTCTGACTCCAAATTCAGTTCTCTCCCAGTGTTTCTCTCTGTCTCTGCAGCCACAGCTCCTCTGCAGAGATAACAGTATATTGTCAAGAAAGTAAAACAATGCCTAATTTCATACCTTGAGACATAAAAGGATTGGAGTTGTAACAAATAACGATGATTTGTGTGTGTGCACCTCCATTCACACCTGGTCCAGTGTTCGCTCAAATGTTATCTGGTGCCCAGCAACCTGTGACTCACTGGCCTATACAAATTGTTTTTGTTTTTTGTAAAAATACTTTGTGATAAAAAAAAGTCAAGTTCTTCAAGTGTATTTCACTCATCCTCATAACACCTGGGTTAAGAATATGTAGGTACTATTAATGTCACCTTCATTTAGATAGGTTGGTTCAAATCTGATGTGCAGGGGAGAAACTAAAGGGTAGAAAAAAATACCACAAGAATGAAAGTCAAGAAACCTGAGTTTCCTGATCTGCCACTAACTTGCAGATGACCTTGGGCAAGTCATATTTGCTCTTTAGGCCTCAGTTTCCTAATCTGTAAAAGTAGAAAATTGAATTAATTAGTCCCTAGGTTTCCTTCCGGTTCTGGAATTCTAAGATCAAGTCTTTGAAATTATTCCTTAGGTCTTTGGATTCCAAATCCAATTTTTTTAATTGCTAAAAGGATATAATAATAACAATAATAATAATAATAATAATAATAATAATAATAATTTGTATAGCTCTGATATTTGCAGTTTTACAAAATAATAACAAATAATAATAATGCTTATATATTATTTTAAGTTTTATAAAGCACTTTACAGAAGTAACCTCATTCAATCCTCACAATAACCCTGTGAGGTAAGTGTAATTATCATTCTCCAGGTTACAAATGAGGAAACTGAAGCTGAGAAAGATTACATAATTTTTCCAGGGACACATAGCTAGGAATTGTCTAAGGTACAATTTGAACCCAGGTCTCCTGGAAATAATGCTTTTCATAGCATTACCATTTCAAAGAAACACAATTTGGGAGAATGTTGGTCTTAGCCCAGGAGACCTGGGCAGTAGAGTTTGAGCCTGGGCTTTATGACCAAGTTGCTGTGTGACCTTGAGCAAGTCACTTCTCTCTTCTAGGCCTCAGATTTCTCATCTGCAAAACGAAGGGGTTGGATTAAAATCTCTATGAGCCATTCAAGCACTAATATCCTGTGATTGATCTTTGGAGACTGGGATCTGAAGCCTGTAAAGTGACTCAGAATTAAAAGCAGAGAAATAAGATCCACAGGGGACAGATGAGTAATTAGCAGGAGACAGATTGAGGGAGGAGGTTTCTCTTGTCACACTAATCAGGGAGAGGACTTGAAGGTGGACACTGTAATTATTGGCTTTGTAGCTGTCAGTCTCTTAGGAAGCAAACAAGATGGCCACTTGCTACACAGTTTATAGAGAAGCTATTTGAAACAATTGTCTTTTGGTTTTTTTACATTGTTTGGGACAGTTGAGACAACACACAAGTTTATATTTTCAAACTCATAATTACACAAAAGAAACTGCATAAAGCATGGCAACATTCATCCTTTCATTCCAGAAACATTTATCTACTCTGTGCTCCAGGGACAAAGGAAACACTTATAGACTCATAAAATTTGAGTGCTGAAAGGGACCAATGAACATAGAATGCAGAGTGTTTAAGAGTCAGTAGCATGGTATGGAAGGAATGCTCTTCTCAGGTTCAGAAGACTTGGGTTCTAGTTCTGGCTCTGATACTTATGGGCAAATCACTTAACAGCTTTTTGCCTCAGTTTCCTTCTCCATAAAATGGACCTAATAATAGATTCATTACTTAGCCCATTGAATTGTGATGAGGAAGGTACTTTGTCAACTTTAAAAGGCTGTATAAATATGAACTATTACATATCAAGATTCTTTGCATCTCTAATAGCAGCATATTATTATACCAGGCATTATATTAGGCACTAAAAAAAGAAAACAAAATATTTGTTGATTTGAATTCACAGAAAATGTTCTTAGGTGGAAGAGGGGAAAGTATACCCCAGTGGGCTAGTATTGGAATAACTGATGGTCTGACTCATCACTGGAAAAAGTAAGAGGGAAAAGTCCAGGTCAGTAGGTCACAGGCAAGCATGAAGTTAGGGATGCCAAAGCTGGGAGCAGCCAGAGGCATAAATAGAAACCATAACTGTAGCAATCTAGATAGGCTGGAGAATCCATTGTACAAGTATGGGTTAAATGTAAACCAGGTGTCCCTAGAAACAAAGTATTAGGGCTGAAAAGAACCCTAGCAGAGCCATAACCACACCAAAGCATTTGGGGGTGCTGTCCTACTGTGATCTGGGCAAGATGAAAGATCTTCCTGTCTTTCTCCAGTTATTTATGAGTTAGTGACAGGGATGATAGGATCATATGATCTAGAAAGAGGGAGAGAGAGAGAGAAGGGGAGAGAGAGAGAGAGAGAGAGAGAGAGAGAGAGAGAGAGAGAGAGAGAGAGAGAGAGAGAGAATGAGAGAGGGAGAGAGAGGGACAGAGAAGAAGAAGAAGAAGAAGAAGAAGAAGAAGAAGAAGAAGAAGAAGAAGAAGAAGAAGAAAAGAAGAAGAAGAAGAAGAAGGAGGAGGAGGAGGAGGAGGAGGAGGAGGAGGAGGAGGAGGAGAAGAGAAGAAGAAGAAGAAGAAGAAGAAGAGAGAGAGAGAGAGAGGAGAGAGAGCCTTAGAGATAATCTAGTCTAGCCACCATCATAATCGATGAAGAAACTGAGGTCTAGGGTGGGGAAATAAATTGTTTGATATCATGTGGCTTAAAAGGCAGGATTTGAACACATAGCCTCTGAGTCCAGATCTCTTTTTCTTTCCATTATACCACAATGAAACTCAGTCTGAGGATTCCTGAGTAGCCAGTGTTTCCACAGAGGACTACCATATTCTTCATGCATGTAGGCTGCTGCCTGTGACCTTCTTGTACAGAAGGAATGGAAGGAAGGTGGTCAGTGCAACTGCTTCCCTGTTACCATGAGCTGGTCAATCTGTCAATCAGCTTCAAGCCAGCCCAGCATGGCACAATAATCAATTAAAATTCACCCCACATAGCCATTGACTTTGGAAGATGTTGGCACTATTTCCATGACTCCATTAGTACACAATGTTTGCATGTAGCCTAGGGTCTTAGCCAGCAGCAGCTAGTCCCAATCTTTTATTTTGTAGAGAGGGACAGCAGCCTTGTTCCACAGTTAATTAATGGTGGAGGCTAGGACAGAACCTTGGCCTCCCAACTCCAGTTCCTCTACTACTCCATTACAACCCACTGGTTATAAACGGGGCTGGTCTGGGAACTCATCTGCTAATCCTGAGCAAAGTCACTTATCAAACAACAGCACATTTCTAGAGCACTTTAAAGGTTTACAAATTGTAAGACTTTCTTACCACTACCCTCTGAATTGATATTTTAGATCTCTGACTTTTGTCTCTCTTTGTATCTACAACACAGCGCAATGCTGGGAACAGAGTAAGCACTACATATTTTTTCCTTTCTGTTAAGTCACATTAAATAGGTTATAATAGCCAAAAAAAATTTTCTTAAAAAGCTAAAAACTGAAAAGTAGAATAGAAATAGTAGTTATTTGCAAAAATAACCAAAGCTTCTTAAAACAAAGACAGCATTAATAGCATACTAAATACTGAGGCATTTTG